AATCGAAACGTATTCCAACTCTTGATTGAACTGAGGCTGAGCATCGTAAGTCTGACCAAAGTGTGAAGCTTCATGCGAGAATGACCTTCAAAATAAAACTTCACTGTCAGATGTGGTATGGTTTTCACCTCATGGACTACACTTGACGCATACCATATGAAAACAGGTGGAATGATACACGAAAAACAAACTGAATAACACACCTCAACGCGTAGAAGCCGAACTGAAAGCAGCATAACTCGTGTCCCTCATTTGACAACGAATCATGAAGGAAGAAGAGAACACACCCCAACGGAGGAAACTAGGAGACTTAGTCAAATTGGTTTCCAACAATTCCCATTTGCATATGTCGAATAAGAACCGCGTTCCATATACAGGGAAAGGCTGAGAAAATGAATCAGAAGAGGATGACCATGAACAGAATACACTCAACATGAAGCTTTACTCATCATTACCATACACGCAAACAGAAAAATAAAACCGGAAAAGATGACATAAGAGCTCGTAAGTGATCAATCAATAACACACTGGAAATAGAGAGAAACCCGAAAAATTGATAGAGAGAAAGAACCTGAACGAACAACAACATACTACAAAAAATTCCAAATAGAAAGATGTAAAACACTAGGATAATTAACACAACATGAAATCATAAGCGACGAACTTTTCTTTTGGGACTTTTTTCTTTATCTGACATACGCAGCTTCAAATTCTTTTCCTGAAATAAATAATCTCAACAAAGTATCGAGGGACTTGTACTCTGAGGGATTTATCCGAATGGAACGAGGAATAACAAATCAGAGCATTTGAAGTTTGTGAAAGAAATAAAAAGTTACATGTGCATGAAAGAAGCAAGCAGCGGTGAATACGGGCATGATTCGGACAATTGTGATCTCTTTACAATATGTGATCATGTCAGAGGAAAAACGTCCAAATGATGTTATCCGATCATCCAAATCGTCGGTAGACACGCAAATACCCAACAGGTTGTTTGAAACTATAAAATTTAAAACGTAGTTACTAATTAATTGAAAAATTGTACATAAGTCGAACACAGGTCCTCCACTTAATCCAGCAATACCTCCTGAACTTCCGCATATATGCCCAGCCTCGTTTGACTGAGAGGATATAATCACGCCACTGGCATAGCACGGTTCCATGTGAGAGTCTTCAATCTGCTGCTTGACTTCAGCATATCCCTAAAAATAAGCTCTAGTTGATATAATTATGCCTTAATTGAGAAAAAGTGCTGGAAAGTAAAGGAAAACATACCAGAAGTACGTAGCGGCTTCCTCCTTTAATCGCCATTGGAATGGGCGTGTTCTCTATCAGCTGCACAGCTGATTCAAAAATGATGAAGTCACTATCATCATCATAGAAGACAACTTCAACATTGTGCGGTGCATGTGTGGAATCATAAACATTTAGTTTATCGCCTCTTTCAAGGCATGAGTGACTTCCATGCCGAGTCGAAATTACAAGATACCGATGCGCTAAGAGTGAAGACTGAAATGGAACACAAGGGTATTTCAATTTGACGTCTTCTTTAAGGTCTCCATTGCTGTTTTTAAGAACTATACGTGTATAGAATAGATAACGAGAGAAACTGTCAAACTCAGTCGCAGCTGAAAAAATTGAAAAATTAGATGGAAAAGATATGAAAGTATTACCTGTGGGAAGAGAAGAACTCTGGATCATATCTTGGTTCATAGGAGTTGCAGGCCTTGATGGTATCATATTTGACTTCAGATAAAACTGATACCCTGCACATTGAGTTGGTAGCAAGAACGCCGTTCCGTCTTCACTCAATCTAAATGTATTGGAATGATTGAACAATAATGGAGAATTCAACTCACTGGCATCCTACTTCACGAGAATCAATATTATATCTCAATGCTATTAGAGAATTCTTTGGAAGGAGGAATTGGGTTTTGAGGGTGTCCATTTTCAGAAGGTTTCGTGATGTTTCGAATTGAAGCTCCTCATCTGAAAACCTGATAGTCACCAAATTCTCCATCTCACACCAACTCCTCTTTATTCTGAAATATTGAACTATACGGAAATACAAAACTAAAATATAAGATGAGTAACAACAAACCTCAAAGTTTTCGAATATCCATATACTTTCGCGTGCTGTGTAAAAGTAACCAAACGGATTGCGTAACTTGGTAACAAACGTGCACAATGTGTACACGCCGGCGTCTCTTAGATTATTTTCGATTTGTTATTGTTTTCTTAGCTTTTTCTTGCTGTTTTTCCGGATGTTAGGACGTTAAGAAGATTTTCATCTTGCTCATCATGCGGAAAAACGATAGCTTCTGCTTCACCGCTCACAGCTCTTCGAAAGTTTGAAATGAAACGGCTTGCTCTCATTGTTTATCAGAATCATTCTATTTCCTGTTGAGCATGGTTCACTCCCCAATCTTGTCTTCATGGGTGAGCGGTTGTCTTTCACGTTTCTTTACAGACTCAGTCATTTCTTAACCACTTTGCTTATTATTTCCTTAATTTTTTAACTGAAGTTTTTCTTCATTCAGTTTCAAAGAAGTATGTCAGACGCTCATACCCACGTGAGTGAGCAAGATTGTGGTTGAACTAGCATATGCAGCAGCTTCATTCAGGATTTCATAACTTTTTAAAATCTTTAGCCATACTTCAGTTCTTCATCTCCCAAAGACCTTTGTAATTTTGAGTGGATACTCGGATGTTGTTGACGTCGTTGCCCCTTCAGATCACTTATGGTGAAGAATCATAAGCTCCTGACTGTGGCACAATTACCTGCTCGTTGACTTCAGCGTGAAATCAAATTATCTTTCGTAGAAGCTGTATCTGAAAGAAATGCCAAAGACGAGGTCACATGTATTAAAGGTTAGTAAATTTCTTCCTATTAGTCCGTATAGTCTTCTCTAGCTCCAATATCTCGGCATCAACTCAGTTGAAAGCGCATAGCTTCCGACGTAACATTGAGAGAGGATGAATGAAAAAACATAATCAGTTTCCTGAATGGCGTGACAAGAGTAGAATAGACTCCGCCCATGACCAACATACTCAAAGAATAATCTGAGTTCTTGGCTCATATCTATCTCCATGTGTTTCCATTGTTTATTTACTTGCTTCTATTCTGTTGAGTCGAAGTCGGTGAATTGCTGATAGGTGCCGAGTGGAATAGTGAGGAACCGGCCGAGAAGAAGCTTCTGAAGATATTGCTCAGTTGAAGGAGCAGTTCGCTTAATTTTTTTTGTAACTTCTCGATTTCATGTTACGTGCAATACTTGTAAGGTATTGTTCTTTCTGTTTGTCACAATGATTCCGTTCTCCAGTTTTCAATTGTCCCCTCTTATCAGTTCGTTATACCCCCTTGTACGGCTCATTGAGTTGTCGCAAAGGGTAAGAACAGGTGGTACCTTGATGAGTATTATTTCTTTGTAGGGCAAAGTTAACAATCATTCTTCATTGTAGATTTCAAGCATACACACATATTTCTATGATGCATTCTAAATGGTAAGCTAAGAATAATAATTTCATGAATTACAGGCATCCTCGCTTGCAATGGTTGTTCAGGGTTTTTCAAACGTTCAGTTCGACGACGGTTAATATACAGGTTGGTACTTCTGAAATTCAAGAGAAATGTTGTTCTTTCAGGTGTCAAGCTGGTACTGGTTCTTGTGTAGTCGACAAAGCGCATAGAAATCAGTGCCAAGTATGCTGTCTCAAGAAGTTCTTCCTCGATGTGGTTTGGCCCTTTCTGCTTACTTCAGGTGGAATATCTCGTTTCATAATCAAAAGAGAGAAGAGTTCAGTTTCCCTATTGGCATCTGCAGCATGAGGTTTGTGATTTATCTCGTTCTCTGTCTCATTTCATCTTCTCTCAGATCATTAGTATGTACTTAGTTCATGATAGTTGCATCCTGTTGTTTTGACACTCATTGGTTCCCTCAAGTTCTTTGAAGCCAAGGAAGAAGAGTCGTGCTTTCCAGACACACATCTTCAGGTAAGACATAGTTCTTCATGATCATAATTGTCAGCATGGTTTGTGTGTTTTCAGTCATCGTTGAAGGTTTCGCTTATTGACATCTAGATTATAGAGTATAACTCCTCAGCTATCTCTCTACATGTGGGGGAGGGGGCTCGCAGGAGAACCGCTCTCAAGTTGTTCAGCTCTTTAAGGTAAGGATGGTGTTTCTTCGTTTGTAAGGAGAATAGGTAACTCAATAATTCCATCTTATTATTATTATTTCCTTTGGAATTCGAGACATAATTGCTGGGCTTGACCAGATCAATTGGTGTTCTGTCCTCAATGACTATGCGTTCCTTGTTGACAAGTTGATTGCTTTGATGTTATATCCAATTATCATATGTGAGCATCCTACTTCATTCAGACAAAGGAGTGGACGATTGTTCTTCGTTCCGCATTGCCCTCTTTCAACGACTCGGTCATGTTCAGTTCACAAAGCTTCTGTCCGTGATCCCAGTTGTTCAGAAAGAGGATATGTAGGACAGAGGACTTTCGGACAAACTGTAGAAAGCAAGGTTTGCATGAGCTTTACCTGAAGTTTTCATTTCATAGATGTACAGTCTGTCCTGAACTGCTGCAACAGTCATCGTCAGTTGAGGAGAGATGTTGAACATGATACTTTCCTGCTGTTCGTGTTAATGAATAATTCCAATAAAGCTCTCATGATCTCATTTGTTTGTTGTTATCACCATGTGTCATCATTCAATCACATAACACCTACCTGTTAATACAAAGAAGTACATGATCGAAAGCCATCAACCGACTTGGCTCATTGGGAACTTTTGTCCGTCAGTTATCAATTGAGAACCTGATCCCGATCCTCACTTTCATCTATGTGGTAAGTCATCTTAACTTGGCATATACTTTTACTTCAGATTTCAAGTTCCTAATAATCTTTTTGTCCATCACGACAGAGAAACTATGGAGTACAATGTGATGAATGTGATGTGACGTGATCCCAGTTGTTCAGAAAGATGGAACGTAAGATGAAGGACTATCGGATGAACTGTAGAGAGTAAGGATCCTATCTGTTCAATTTGAAGTTCTCGTTGTAATTGATTGTTGTAGGTTTCCTTGTAGTTGGTTGTTGTAGTCTGAGCTCATTCCCCTACCCTCCTTCGTTTTCATCGATTTCTCCCTGTTACTCCTACTACTGTTAAAATACAGGTTATCGATTGATTTGGGACGATTGAGGGTAGAATGCAACCGTTCGAAGCGGTTTGGGTGGAATGCAACCTTTCGGTGCATTTCAGATGAGGCTCGGACATGTCAACTGACGTGGTTCGGATGCTCCACGGCTTAAATACACCCTGGTGGTTAACCTCAAAGTGGAAATTGAGGATCGGAAGACTCATAAAGGTTCATTCAATTTGTTTTTCTTTTTTTTCTTTTTTTTTCGTTCTGTTTCGCTCGGTTGAGAGGATTCTCTTACTGACTGCCTTGTTCCTTCCTCAACCTTTTACCTAGCTATGCCTGTTGTATTCCCCTGACATATTTCATGCGCTTTCAATTTCGTTGATCACATGGGTGCTTCCGGAATCTTCTCCCAAAAACTTTTTTGCTAATGTTGAGCTTTGCTTTCCAATTATTACATTTATGTTCGTACTCATTCGAATCAGCTTTTCATTCTCTATCCTTATATGGTATGCGCTTTCAATTTCGTTATTGTTTCAAAAAGTTTTTTTCTTTGTTCTGGAACCATTCGAGATAGAAACTGGTCGAAATGGAGAAGAAGAGGCTTGGGTTGAGCTCTGCTCCAACGAACTCAATCCATTTCTGGAAGTTTGAGAAAAGTTCCAACTTGAATTCTGATGGAAGTACGTGTTTTCATCGTTCTTTTTCACTGTCTGTTCTTTTATAGTGTTCTCAGTCGATTGATGATGTCTGCTGACTAAATCAGTCATCAACAAGGTTCTAGAAGATTCTGGAAGAAGTTTTCAGTTGATGAGGTAGGACAAACTTGGTGAGAACTATTTCCTTTGTAACCTCCCAGTTGAGGTTGATATCTTTCAGGACATCATGGTTCTTCACATAACTTGAGAGAACTTGGGCACAGGCTACTCGATGAAGGTGACGTTGGTTTATAACTTTGTGATTATTGGTGTTGGTGTTATAGATGACTAAAGGGTTCACCTTGCTCCTCGCATGTACAAGACAGTCTTAGACAATGAAGAACTTCTTCTGAAGGTACTCTTATAGTCGTACCTTTAGAATAAGTTCCTTATTGACTACGACTGGCAGAATGAGTTACATGAATATGGGAGGATAATAAGACAGAGGATAGGACAGAGCAGGAGTTCACGTTAGTTTGTTATGCTTTTCTTTGATGTGTTGTTAATCCTTGTGTTGTAACTCTTTCCATCAGGAATAAACTTGTTTGAATTGATTTTCTTGTTGTTTGATTGGGACTGGGTGGTGATGGGGGACTCAGAGAACTCGGAGTGGATGAGGGGAGGAGGTCTGAGGACTTTGTTGTTTGGTCAGATATTGATGGTCCATAAAGACCATATTTGGTGATAAAAGTGTGGCAGGATAGCCGAGTGGTATACATGGGGATCTCACAGGAACATGGTTGGTTCGATTCCCGAGGAAACTTCTACTGGCCCGA